GAGCCTGGGATTCAAAATTATATTCAGAACTACAGTATGACTAAGAAAAACCTCAAACCTGGAGGAAGTGCTAAGCTGAAGCACAATCTGTTTGAAGTTTTAACATCAGCAATAGTCAGTAACACTTCACACAACTTCAGCATATTTTACATAAGGATTGAGTCGTCTCGTTTTTTTTCCGACCACTAGACCAACAAATCTCCAAAAGACGGCGACTGTGGGAAAAAAATAATCAAACCCTGAGAGTTGAATTGATTTTCTTCTTTCTAATTATAAGAAACCATAATCCAGGCAGGCACTAGAGAAAATGTATTTGCAGGTAAAAAAAAATCCTAGTCTTCAAAGAGGACGCTGCCGACTTTAGGTGAATCAGAGGGAATTGTCTACATTTAAAGTCACGTCACTGCTCCAGTGTTGCACAAACTGCTCCTCCCTCTTCCCTCCCCCGCTCCAGCCTCCTGTTAATCACAGAATGTGACATGACAGATGTTTGAAAAAGTACCCATCACTCCCCTCGACCTGCATGACTCATCTGGTTCCACTGCCGCTCCATCACCAGTTCCCGTCTTCCTCCTCTTCCAATCACTCATTGCTCAACTTCATCTCCCGCCGTTGCTCCGGTCCCTGAACTGGACCAAAGACTGGTTTCACTGAGACCAGAGCGTGTGTCGTTGATCCTCCTTCCTTTTATCCCGCTGACACGCAGGTCTGTCAGGACTCAGTTTGAGAGCGAAGTGACACTGATGTGCTACTGATGTCTCGCCTCACTGTGTTTGAAACCTCCGTCTGTGATCACATGCCCCATTTCTACTGTACCTTTAGCCAAATGTTATCATTTCAGGGCTAACTCCTACCCAGCCTCTTGTTAGCTTAACACTCCAAACCCTAAGCAGGTTTGTCTAACTTCAAACATTCCTTAGTCCAGCTAGTGTGAAGCCAGGTCATGTATTTGGTATTTATTTGCGGCTATTACTGGGCTAGCGTTCATCTTTTGTGCACTTTAACCTGTTTAACCTGTTTTTAGCTACCTAGTTGGTCATTGTTTATCTGACTTTTTGCCAATTTTGTGGCTGGCTTTTGACCATCCTTCTGAAACTTGCCTAATTAGCATAATAGACAAAATGCTAAAAGTTTTGGACAACTTATCATCTTGGTTAGCCCTTAGCTATTTCAATGTATTTGGCTATCTCATAGCTATTACTGGGCTCTTTTGTCCATTTTTAGCCTTTTGTATCTAACACCATCTAGTTGGTTTATAGACCTTTAGCTGATTATCACTTGTTGTTAGCCATTCTTGCAATCCTTAGCACAACTTTTGGGGTTCCAGTCAATTTAGCTAATTCTCTGCTTCTTTATTCAGCTAACTTTCAACAACTACTGTTACATGTGTTGCTACTTGTGGGCATTATAACAGTGACTGGGAGAACAATTGAATATTCTTTCACTACAGAAGTAAAAACTAAACTTAGCTGTCGACGATCTATCTATGTGTCTTTCTTTAATTCATCCAAGTATATCAGCGTGGTGTTCAACTAAACAGGATTTACACTGACTAAGTAAACTGTCAGTAAATTGAAACATTTCATTAGTTTTTGTGAGTTTTTTGTTTGGTGGTGCGCAAGCAGATTTTTGTAATGTTAAATATGAGCTGTGGCTCAGTGAAAGGTTGGAAAACACTGAGACCAGTTTGAGCGAGTTTTGCTGTATTTCATTTATAATTAGGTTAAATAATTTCATCTACGTTAAATATAATGTACTCAGTGTTAATTCTATTTACATGATCTGTTGTGAACAAAACTTTGTCATATTTTTTTTTCTTTTTACATTGAGTTATTTTCTTTACAAGTTTGATTGATTCGACCTTTATTTATATCCTTTATGTATCGCTGGGTTTCATAACTTTTCCTTGAACTGGATTAATGTCCTGGGTTTAACGTCTCAAGTCAATTTGTTTGTTTGTTAGTTTGCGTCAGTGTGTTGTGTGTGTACAGTATGTGCACGCACACACACACTGATGTAAATTCCCCCATTCCTCTCTGTCTGCCTCGCTGTTACAGTCTTTAGCCCATTAGCATAATAATCCTCTGTTCTACTTTCACCTCACCTTTCCTGGGTCATACTACTGTGGGAATCAAATCAGGATACGCCCACTTCGTTCTCATGTACTTGCACTCACATTCACTCAGTATGTTATTAATTATGATGGTGATTATATAGGCGGCCAGTGATCAGTGGGCAGAAGGAGCCAAGACCCTGACCTTTCAATCAGAAGGTCAGGGTCTTGGCACAGTTAAATCTCACAATTAATGTCATTGACTTAACACTTATCATACTCTATCTGCAGTCGACGATGTTAGCAAGTGAGTTAGCCACAGGCTTAAATACAAAGACGAGATGAAAGAAGCTTTGTCTTTGGGCCGTTGGGCTGCGTTTAGGAAACGTTTTGTAACCTTTACTGATTTCTGTGTTACATGAAGCAAAGGAGACAACGGTGACCAGAGTTGCTGAAAGAACTGTTCAAACTTTGATAAACACAGAGGGTCTCCTTTGTCTTTTAAAAATAAATGAAGGTTTAAATGCATCACTAAAATAAAGATTTTAATTTTTATTCCATTTTTATCAAGTCAGGTAAGACTGCTTCAACAACATGAAACACTTTTATTTTGTAAGGACACATACATGAACGAACCAGCGACCTGGTACTGGAGAAGGTTGGCTCGGAAACTTGGAAAGCGTTTTATCTGCCGCGATGACCCCTTAGCACCAGCGCTGTGGAAAGTGGACTCCTTTCCTCACTTGTAGTGATCTCTGTGAAATCTTACCCTCTTTCCTGCTTATCTGCAAACAACTCGATTAGAGTGGAGTGGGCGAGGTGGCGAGGGAAGTGAGCGGCGTATGGATGAGGTGCAGATTAATGGTGGACGAGATGAAGTGTAACAGGGTCTGTTTACATGGGTGGCTGCCTTTAAGGCACTTACTGCAATGAGCTGTGTGTACGTCTTATATATATGCTGCACACACACACACACACACACCTTTATATATGCTGCACACACACACACTGATCTTAGTGTCTTGGGAGCCCTTTATGTGGACATATAGAAATACATGACATAATTAATAACTGTTTTATGACATAAACATACCTGGTCTTAATCCTTGTACTAACTCTGCTCTGACTGTTGATCTAACCCTAACATGAAAAACGACAAAGCGTCCCCACAAAATAATATTTAAAAAATGTCCCCACAAGTGCTAAGAACACACATTGACACACACACTCATCCACTCACAGCCGATTTAGTTTTGACTTTAGTTTTGATTTTCAATTTCTTACTGGATGCTCAGCTCATCACACACACACACACACACACACACATAAATCAACTCTGGCTGATGCACATTCATTTCACACTCTTTAACTGCCAGTAAAAGTCAATAGAGTTTACAGTGTGTGTCACTGGTCAAGTGTCGGGGATCAGTACTTGGTCAAACCTGACAGCTCTTCACAGTTGCATTTAAAACTAGTTGATTGAATTAAAAGAAAACTTGTTTTGTGATCACTTTTTTTAATTATAAAAAAAAAGGGACAAGACGGGTTTTTGGTGTTTATAGTCAACAAATTAAATCTGTTTATTAAACGTTTACCACTCGCTTACATTCACTTTGGTTTAATCGTCCATTTTATAGTTTTTCAGCTAAGACTCCAACTGCTGTATGTTTTCAGGTGGACCTCAGCCTGGTCTTGTCTCCTGTCTCTCTGTAACTGACGATCAGTCGTCATTGTGGTCTTATTTTACTTATTGTGATGCACCACAGGTGGGACAGTGGTTTTTGCTCTTGCCTTACATGAGGTAGAACACAGACTCGAGCCCTGGTGGAAACTTGTGGTTTTTCTGTTTGAAGTTTTTTCCTGTGATTTGTATGTTGCTGGGTTACTGACAGTGTTGCATTCAAGGTCCGTTCTACTGTAGAACTTTTGGATTACTCACCAATTCTGATTCTCTCCCTGTTTCTAGACTCGCCACACACTGGCCGACTCTGAGGTTATCCCTGGGCCACCTGTGGCCCCCGAGCCACTATTTGAATGAACAT